GAGCTTGGCTGCACCTGAAAAACTTATCAAACTTTGGTACTCTATCCCGGATTGCTCGAGTTGCAGAACACATTTTTTGTCATATTTGCCATGTATACTACTCATGTCACCATAGCCCGGCGCGCAACATCTATGCGATTTGCACTTTTTGAGCAACATATCAAGGGTTTTATCAATATTATTTTTAGTTTGGACAATACATAAACGAGTTTTGTTACTGACTGTGCAAACGGCCTCTTACAGCTACAGTTACGTAGCACCACCTGGTACAACACCGCACCTTCGTCATGTTTTTCATCACCAGAACACGCACCAGTGCTATTTCAAGACACCAGATGTGTATATTATGTCGTACTTTCATAGTGGCCACTGTCTGATGGAAAAATTCCTGCTGGTTCACTTAATAGACGTTATGTTCGGTACTGATATTGCCGGTCCTTATGGGCTCGTAGATGTAAATGCAATTAGTGTATTATTATGCGCGGTCTGATAACTATCCAACAATCTAGATTTAATATTCCATTGCCGTCAAACTGCCAACGTAGCACATGTGGTTAACGCATCTACTGTAGTGCGAGATTGAGGGCAAAGAACTGGTAAGTCTAGATTGTTAAATTGGCAGATGACGATTTCAGTTTAGTGGTACGCAGACATTTCCTGCCTGTGATGCCATGATAAAGGAGTGTCAGTGTTTAGAGGAATACGAAAACGGCTGTAATGAACGATAACTAGCCTGCATTCTTTCCCGCCACGTCCACTCTCTCACCAGCGACTGTCATGTATGCAATCACTGGACATTCTTGAGTACCCTTGTTTACAGTCTACAAATTTGCTGCTTCAATCAGTAATACAGCTATTAGAAACTCACCACTTGTTCATTGTTTTTTTTCTATTCCCATATGCATTATGCGAGATTCTTCAAACAGTAACTTTTATTTATTTAGATGTCATAAAATTTTTGACAAAATACCACCAGTGTTTAATGGAGCTGAAACATGAAATGTGATCTCCATTTAAAATAAAACTGCACGCAATTTCAACTTAGTGTGCAATACTTTTTTTATCACCTTTTAAACACATGTAAACCTATGCGTACTTTAGAACTTGTTCGAGCTGATTCATATTCTCTACTTTTTATTGTTTAATGAGCATGTATTTCAGCTATATAAGTTGCGAACTAATAAGTACCAATGTATTAGAAGGGTAATTGTATAGCTGAGCATGAATCTATTTATATGTTAATTTTCGTTTTTCTTCTCTCTTTGTGGACCTCTACTTATTTTATTCTATACTGCATTGAAACGACCACTATAGCTACTTCATACTACTGGTATAAAGAACCCTCGCATATGAAATTTTTCGTTTCGGAAAAAGTATCACAGCATATCCACGGAGTGCATGATGATGAGTGGGGCGAAGCGTCCATCCGTCCGTTCGTTCTTGCTTCCATCCTTTCGTGCGTCCGTATATGTGACAGTCCGTGCATCCATCCGTCCGTGCATTCGCATGTGTGTCCATGCGTCCATCCTGCGTCCATTCATCCATGCATCCGTCCGTGCATCTGTCCGTCCATCTAGTGAAAACTCCAAGTACCACCATCTCGTATCTTTCCATGATATATTCAGCACACAAAACTACCGCCATCCAGCGGACATTCCAAGAAGTAAACGAGAGGTGGCACTCGCACACTCTCTTACGGCCTGCGCTTCGTGTCTACTTCCCACCTATCACCGCCTCTAGTTCATGGCTCTACACTAGTTCACTATATTCATGGCACTGCGGTCCGATCCTCGCTAAACATTGCTAAAAGCAAGGTGGTTGTGCTCAGCAATTTTAACGTGGCCACCCTTTCTGGTCAGATAGCGCTGAAAGTGCGTCCTTCTGATACTAGTTGTATTGCGAGAGGTGGAGAGGGTAGTGTCGCGCGAGGTGGAGAGGGTGAAGCGAGAAAGAGCTGACACGCGGCGAGCGCGTGGCAGGCGAGGGATAGAGGTCACCACGCACTGCTAAGTGGGCGTGAGCTGCTTGGCACCACTCCGACACCTGCGGCGATGGGAGTGGTATGGACTCAGGGACAGCGTTACACAGGCTAGTCAAAAAGCTGCTTCGCACCTAATATACTTTTGTTGTTTGTTTGAATAATTGAATGATCGATTGATTGATTCCCAATACCGTCGCCGTGCCTTCAAGCGGTGTACACCCTCCTTATGACCTTGATTGATGGATATGTGGGGTTTAACGTCACAAAACCAGCACATGATTATGAGAGATGACGTCGTTGAGGGCTCAGGAGATTTCGACTAGCTGGGTTTCATTCTCAGTATGACCTTTCGCCTACGTTGGTGAAAAGTGTTCGCTAGAAGCAAGCAATGGCTCCTGCTATAGCGTCTCCACGAATCTCAGCGTCGATGACTGTGAAGAAGCAGACGTTCTCTGCATACAAGCCATCTAGCGGAACGAGGTCGCAAATCACTGTGCATCCACTACGAGCACTTTAACTCTTAGCTGAACGCAACCAGATTGGACATAGCCACATCCATTTTAAATGTCACCGTGTTGGCATATTGCCGGTTACTGTGGAAACTGCGGGTCATCCCCATCATTACATCGTTTGTCCATTATTGTCACTACGAATCATTTCTTCGAAATAGCCGCCAAGCTACCTTTCAAGTTTCTCCTAGTTATCTGGAACGCGCCTCGTTGTTTGGCTCTATTCTTAAAGTTTTCGTCATGTTCCTCAGAATTTCATAAGGTGAAATGGACTCTTGGTAACTTCCGCTATTGGCTCTTGCCACAGGCCTATTCTTTAACATCTGCCTTCACAGCTCCTGACGTGATGGACGTACTAGGAAAGGAAGCATGCTTTCCCGTAACCTGCTTGTACAACGAGCTTTGCGAAGACATCAGCCTACGGGGATATTTTTATGTCACCAGCAGTTTTCTTAACTCCATTATGAAGAGCGCAACTTGAAAGAGCACCATGCCATATTACTATATTGTTGAACTCTTAACAACTTCAAGACTACAACAGGGGTCATTTAATAATTTAAATTGAACTTAGTTTGTGTTACCATTGACTAGCACCTCAGCATTGCGGCAGCTGTCACCAACGCTGAGAGAAACAGGTTACTGTTTTTCTTTTCATTTCAACCACATAGCCTTCTCTAGCAAAAAAAAAAAGAACGCAAAATCACCCAAAGAAGTTGACCCTTATTTGAAACTACAGCATTACATCGTGTCGTGCCACGTCTTTTGTTGTACGGCATTATTATTACAAGTCGTTCCAAAGCAGTGCTTTTCATTTTTACTTGATACCCCGCTGACTTGTGCTCACGGCTTCTAATTAAAGCACACCTACTCCATCCTCTGACATATCTATCGAATGCTTGCTAATTTGCGTGGAAATTGTTAAAAACAAACTTATGTGGGTAATTTATATAATTGGTGGATATTCAAAATGTTGAAATGCACAAAAATGCTAAGAGTAAGCGAGACAGTGTGTCCACTAAAAATTTCTGTCTGAAACATGGTACATATTGGCCATATAGATATCGCTAAAATATTTGATCTTCATCAATAATTGGTTGTTTGTGCAATAATATTTGTATGTGACCGCTTAGTGCACATATTATAATTTAGGATGACATTACGAATAATTTACCAAGAGAGAATAAACTTTTTATAACGAGTGCATATAGGGGAAGCCACGGTTGGGTGGGGCCTCTAGTCCAGAGCTCTACTGCTTTGCGCGACACTGCGAGGCCGCTGGAACAGCTGCTACTGTTCCTACCGGTGTAATCGGAGCATTGTAGACTCCCAAGAGGAAGGAATAGGTTTGTGAATGGGAGGAATACCCCGTGGAGCACAGCATTCCCACGTAGAGTGGTACACTGCCGGTACAGATCCACAAAAAGGGCAGTAGGAGGGTTGCTGAGCTGGATGAAAGCGATTTAGCATATATAGGAAAGGAAATGAATTGGTCTGCAGTTGCTGCGAAGCGGCCGCATCTGCTCTGTGAAGGGAAGGATGTGGAGGAGGATATGTATAACGAAGCGAGTTTGAAGAGCTTGACAATGAAATCGATAACATAAAATACAGCTTCTTATACGTTAAGACAGCGTAAACCAAGAAACAGATAACCTAAAAAACCATGTGACTTGAAGAAAGTTATGTGTGCCTAGCACCCAAGATCAATAATTTGTAATTTTGCCCAGAGAAATAAAAAAAAAAACTCTAAAGAATCATAACTGTGTTTCTCTCACGGACGCGCACAACAAAAACAACAACAACAACAACAACAACAACAACAACAACAACAACAACAACAACAACAACAACAACAACAACGACGACGACGACAACAACAACAACAACAACAACAAACGTACAAACAAGCAAACGGTGTATTGAATTGATACTGTGTATACACATATACTTTTTATGGTGTAGTCCTGTCTCTTTTCAATAATAAATACATGCATATCATAACGCTTCTTTTACGTGAGTCAGAAACAGCAGGGTAATTATCTTTGTCATTTAATATTTATATTTAGTGAACCAGGGAAATGAAAGCTACATTGACCTACGAAAGGAAGGTTATATGTTGTCATCTTTTTTTCACAAGGCCCAACTTATTGAGCAGTTACTTTTTAAGCAAAACACGTCCAAAAATGCAAGTCAATACGTAGGTTTGCAATGGAGTCCGTTCCTCTCGAATTAATTATTCTGAAAAACAACTGCTCTGGGCTATTTTAGAGGACGAAATTTTGTAACATCAACAGTTAGGGGGAGTTCACTCGTACAAACAGCACCTGCTCCACTGATAACAGTAACATGACCTCACAAACATCGCACCCCACTGTGTTGTTATTACAACCTGCCGGCTTCAGTGACGCCGTTGCAATCCATCTCGTCTGTCCAGATAATTCTTTCTTGAAAGTTAGCGCGTGTGTACGTGCACAAGCGCTTACGCCAGTGCACCTATTACAAAAGTCGTGAGCCATTGGAGGATTACATTATTTGGGCCACTCACATTGTGTGACGCCCGGTGTTATTCTTTTATGTCGTTTCTTGTTGCATCTGTTAAGACGATTCCTTGCACGACATGAACCCCGTATAGCGCTTTTTTGCGAAAGGGTTGGGGCCTGCTTTGGCAAAGTGGTTAAGTTTGATTGCCTTTCGGTTCTTGATATATTTATCTCATTGTGCGCTACGGCAGTTACGGAAAGCGGCCGCGGTGGCGGACCACTACACCACCAAAATGTGTTGTTGTTGTGACCTCTAAACTGCTTTCACTGTCAAAATGAAATAACGTAATCTCTACTTTTCGTCATGAAGGTGAAAGGTTGACACCCTGCCCTTAACAAAACCCCTTGGTGTATCTTTTCAGGTGTTTGATAGTTTTGACAGCATCGTCGCCATCTTTGATATAGACAAGGACGGGGATCTCGATTGTTTGAGTGGTGCACGCACATACTACGACAAGCATTCGTCAACCGCTACCTACGTCTGGTTTCTTAAAGGTTTAAATGGCCACAAAGCGTGAGTGATTGTTGTATTTTGCAACTTCGATTCGCTTAATAATGCATTAAAAGCTTGGGTAAGTACGATGGTATGACATCGGAAATCATCTTATATCGGCTAGTGACTATATCATACTTGGCCCTTCTGCTCCGAATGACGTATAAGGTCGTCTAAAGGTAGTTCACGAGATTCTCAGCTATGTTGTATAAATAAGCATAAACTACCTGAAAAACGGCACCTTGTCTGCTAAGCAGCACCCATTTAACATTGTGTAATATATGACGTAGGTAAAAAACTACGCAATATCCCACTAAATATAACTATGAGTAGCAGGCGAAGCAGCGGATGGGTCGACTTAAAGTTCCGTTCATCACAGGTACCTTGCCCGATGTTAACCAAAGTGAACGATTGGGCCAGTTGGTGAAACATGATCTAAGAGTACTGCGCGGTAGGAAACACGGATGAGAAAAAGACAAGGACAAGTGCAGACTTTTTCCCGTCCATGTTTTCTACCGCGTAGTACTCTTAGACCGATGTTAACGCGTCCTTTCAAGTGGAGCACACCATGAATTCACTGTAGTTTCTGTTGCCGTTACTCGTCCCGAACTCTTGTTGGAGTACAACACGGGGGTTCGCTAGATTCCGTGCTGACCGGTTGTGCCCTCGTGATTTCCAACAACAGCGCTGCTCTGGCCGACTAGGTTGGTCCTACGCCACCTCCTACCGCCGGTCCCCTACGACGAGGACAGCGCATCTCTGGCCGACTAGATTAGCCCTATGCCATCTCCTGTTGCGTGATAGCATATCTTGCGTGATAGCATATCGTCAACTTGGTCTTCAAAGAGTTTCGTTTCTGATTGCGAGACACGGTAGGGCCGACGGCGTATAACACCAGAACCATTCGTTTCAATGTGCTGTACAACCACGGGAGTCTGGCTAAGTGTGACGACACAGCTGTCGAAGCAGGCCTTATGCTTAGCTAAAAGCGCCAGTAACGCTGTGGACTGTGGAAGTGTTAGATTAGGGCAGATGTGTTAGATTAGTGCGGGGAAGGAGGAAGAACTCGCACCTGACGTGGGCAGTGACGATGGAGACGGGCAAAGTGCTGCGATGGAGGTCAGAGGAGGGGCGTCCATCGTCGCTACAGTCATCCCCTTGGGTAACATAATTGATTCTGCAGTTGTGTTGCTAATGGGCAGAAGAGCGTGGTCATAAGGCAACCGGAGCAGACAAGAGGTGTCGAGAATTCCACAATGGGTGCAGCGCGGAGCATGGACAACTAGGGCGTCATCATCGTTTACTTGGCTAGATGCAACAGCTACCACGTGTTCATGATCAGGGTGCAAAAGACAGCCTTCAGCGACTTCAGTGACTTCAACGTCTTCAGTTGAATACCAATGAAGGCGGATCTGACAGAGATGCTTCCGATGTATCCCCGATGTGAACGACGTGTTCTTTACTTGTTATGACAGCGGAGGCGGAATGCAGGAAGCCCCAACCCAGGATAAGTTCATGAACGTACGTGCGTTGCGCAATCATTTCGATGTGGGCACGTAAGCCGTCGATGAAAACGCCAGCCGTACACTGTCCATCAGGTTCGATGAGTGCGTTATTTGTGCCACGCGACACAGGTCCTACAAATGGTGTTCTTACTTTGCGCAGCAACGAGCACAAGACACTACGTGTAACAGAAATAGCGGCACCGGAATCAACGAACGCTTGCACAGGAACACCTTTAGTAGTCACTAACAACACGTTAGCCGACAAACCAGGAGGTAGTTTTGATCATCGACTGGACGCAGTTTTCTCTCCAAAAACTGCTACCCTTAGTTTTGTGACTGTTAATCAACAGTGCGGGAAAGGGAGCGAATCGGCGATGCCGAGCGTCAGTAGGGTGATGGAGAGCATCGTATGGAGGAGCGGTAGTCCTGATGTTGACGTGGGGACGCTGGAGGAAACGGAGACTTGTACTGCGTGAAGGAGTAGGACTCTGGAACATAATATTCCGGCTGTCAATAGCGGTCTCACTCGAACTCAGCGTAGCCTCGTCGTTCATCCTGCTGGCGGCGACAGCAGTAACGTGATATGTGGCCTCGGATACCGCAGTAAAAACAAACAGGACAGTACGAACGCAACTGAGGATAAGAAGTTGGAGCAGGTACGCCGCATCGCACAGAAGCCGAATGGCCACAAGTAATTGCAGCAGGCCCGAATGTGGTCGCGGAATGCAGAATAGCTGCTATATATGCATATGTGGGCATCAGTGGTTGATCAACCGAAGCTGTCGGAGTCATCACGGAGGCCACATCAGCATATGTGGGCAGCGAGCATGCTGATGGAGCGACCAGCACTCTCGGTGTTGTCCTGGCCACTAACTCCTGCTTCGCAAGATTCCGCAAGTCGAACAGTGCGGATGGAGTTGAGACGGCAGTGAACCGCAGCTATTCCAGGTCTCGAAGTTCTTCACAGATGATCGTGTGGATGGAGGCATAAGGCGGGGATCGCTGTCTTGTTGAAGGCGGAGCGACTGCAACTGATCAAGGTGTTGGCTCATGCTTTAAACTGTAGTGGGACTGTTTACAGCCAAGGCGTTGAATGCAATCGTGCCGATTCCTTTGAGGATGTGGCGAACGCGCTCGGCTTCCGTCGTATTGCTCTTCGCACGGTGACAGAGAGCCAAAACATCCTCGATATACGAAGCGTATGTCTCGTGTGGATGTTGAACCTGCGTTGCCAGCTTCTGTGTGTGGTTTTGAAACGACCTGACGAGCATCTGAAGATCTTTCGAAGCTTCGTGGTAAAGGTCGACCATTCAACAAACTCAGTTTCGTCGTTGAAATACCACGTTTTGGTTACGCTGGTGAGATAGAATGGGAGATAACGCAATATCTCCGCTTCGGTCCACCAATTGGCTGAACTCACACGGTTGTAAAGGTCGAGCCAGTCCTCGACGTCATCACCGTGGAGGCCTGCGAACATAGGTGGTTCGCGATTAAGGCTGGTGACAGTGGACGAAGGGAGGGTGGCCGTAGGCATTAGTGTGAAAGGGTTAGGGCTAGGTATTGGTTCCGTTGTCGGCATAGCTGTGGGGGTGGCCGAGCGCAATCGGCAACCGGATTGTTGCTCCAGGTGAGGCATGAACGAAGGAGGGCCTTGGGATCTTTTTCCGGCACCCTCACCACTCTCTGTGATGCAGGAAGACTTCACTATGCACAACCAGCAGAAGCGTTTATTCCGGGATGATTGCCTTGGCTCAGAAACAGCAACGAAAGAGCCTGTCACGCCCCAGAACTCGGCGCTCGTCAAAAAAGAAGAAGTTGGCATTGGGCCGCGCGGCGGATGCAGCGCAATTATAATAAAAAAATCAGTTCAAAAACTGAACGCTGTCAGGGCTGGAGCTCCGGCAGTTAATGGTGACCCAACAAAGAACACACAACCCCGATCACCCCACATGGGTCTCGCCTGCTCTTCCACCAATCCTACCGGTTTGATGCCCAAGAAGACGCCAGACCTAGCAGTGCTGCAGTCACTGCGGTTCACCATGTCAACCTGCCACCATTTTGGCCTAACAGCCTCTGCACATGATTTCTGCAGGTCAAGGCACACTTCCGTCTACGGCAAATCACCAGCAGACAGGCCAGGTACTGGCATCTGGTGTCCTGCTTACCTCCGGATGTAGTCGACGACTTAGCTGATATTTAGCGTCGCCACACCCGAGCCATCTCTACGACACGTTGAAGACAGCTATCATTTCCCGCATGTCTGAGTCCGAACACAGCAGACTCCAACAGCTCATCACGGCTACAGAGCTCGGTGACCGTCACCCATCACAGCTCCTGCGACGCATGCGCCAGCTTCTTGGCGGCCCCTCCGCCCCCCAAGAGGAGAAGGTGTTACGTGAGTGTTCCTCTAGCGCATGGTCCCGGTACTTGTAGCCGCAGATGTCCCAGTAGACACACTAGCTGAAATGGCTGACCGAGTGGCGGCCTACTCGCGGGCACATATATCCTCAACGCCGTTACCACACCGCCACCGGCCACCGCTGCAGACCCGGCACTCGCGAGCATCGAGAACCGTTTGGACGCCCTTGTCAGGCACCTCGATGACTTTGTACCTGCGCATCGTCGACCGTCACCCAGGTTCTAAACACACGGTCGCTCCCCGACGCCCCCACGTTCTCCTGAATTTCAGCCAACCGACAAGCCGCGGGACGTCTCATTCTCAACCGTTGGCTGGTACCATCGCCAATTCGGTGGCTCTGCTCGCAAGTGCACTCACCCATGTTCCTGGTCGGGGGAATGCGACGACCGGCCAGTAACGGCGGCAAGTGGTACTGGTCGAAAATCATGCCGCCTTTTCTATGTCTCTAGCAAGATCACTGGCGCTTGTTTCCTAGTGGAAACAGGAGCCCCGATTAGCATCATCCCGGCCACGTGTGCAGATCGCCGTCGCAACAAACAGACCTGCCCACTGCAAGTGATCAATAATTCTGCCATTCGCACATACGGCCATTGCTCTATTACACTTATCTTGGACTATGCCGTACGTTCCGCTGGATTTTCATCCTCGCTGACGTCTCGCAAGCTGTTCTTGGAGCTGACTTCCTCAGTTTTTTTAATCTTGCTGTGGACATGCCTACTCATCGCCTCATAGATCTCAACACCCACCTCTCCATCAAAGTGTACTCTGTACTTCCTCGCCAACGGGAGTGCGAGCTCTCACACCTGCTTCGCCGTATGCAAAAATACTCTCCGATTTCCCAGCATCACGAAGCCGCACGCCAGAGAGTCGCCGGTGGCGCATTTCATCACTCACCACATTGTGACCACTGGACCTTCCGTTTTTACACGACCCCGTCGACTACCTGGAGAACGCCTCGCCATCGCCCGCCGTGAATTTGAGCACATGCTGGAACTCAGCATTGTGCGGCCTTCCTCCAGCAACTGGGCGCCGTCATTCCACATGGTGCCGAAGAAAGATCCTGGCGACTGGAGACCATGTAAGGATTACCGCGCTCTC